TGAACTAGATTCTGCAGACACCAAAGCTCACTCACACATACATTGTGTCTATTGTCTTGCTGTTTCAATTCTCCCAAGACGTGAGTTTTACTTTTCCCACCACATCGCATCGCTCTTTCTTCCCGTCGATCTGCCCACCGACCGACCACTGGCACTTTCGGGGTCCGAGGTTTTATTACATTAACGTTTGCAATTTGCCGTAATCGGTTCTATGATTTATGGTATCTCAAGCTATCAGCTAAAAGATATGTATACACAGCCCATCAAAAGGGATTGAAAGCAAATTGGAAAGTATCGGAGAGCAGCCGGCACAAAGTTCGTCAGTCAGCCAGTGAGTCAGGAAATTAAATTGAAAGCCTGGCAGGCTGGAGAGAAAAGACCCAAAAGATATAGATGTTGATGTAGACTTAGCCCAACCTACTTACCTACTCGAGTGTCTGAATGTTTGTGCATTAAATATGGCGTGGATAATAAAAGCAGCCGAATCAGCAGAGCCCGGGGGGGGGGCACGGCACAGTTGGGGGGCGTGGCTGGTGCATGCTATACTGTGCTACCTATACTAAACTAAAACATACTGATACAGCCAGCCACCCACCACTTGCAACTTGTCCTTGCCTCTCTCGCTGTCTCTCTATGTGTGAGTGTGTGTGTGTTTCTGTGTATGTGTGCCACATGGCGTATGATGGATTTATGTTTAAGTTGCGTGCAAGCAACTTAATGGATTTTGTAATTTTCAGAAAAACGAAGGAAGCACACTCTTCTTTTTTCTTTCTTGTTGTATTTCATCTGTATATAGATATATATATGGAGAGTCGAAGCCAAAGGCAAGTTGGCCAGAACAAACTATCTCGTAGATACTTATACTCACATACATTCGGAAAGGCTCATCTTGAAGTTTCCACCACCACCACTGCCGAACCCCCTGCCAATGGCAAATAGAGACGGGCTGCCGTGAGGCATGAGCCGGGCTCTTGCACCAAAGAATTGGAGCATGCCAAGTTATAAAAAATGTTGCTCGAGCATCATAATATATGCGGCACATAAGCATCGCAACGAGCCAAAACCGAGACTTCCTCTCTGTCTTCGTTTCAGTTTCTGTCTCTTTGGCTAGGGAAAAGTTGAAAACGAAAACAAACATTTCGGGTGGGAGAACTTGAAAAGCAAACCGAACTTATTATGCCCTGCAGAAATAACCTTGGAATAAGCCAAGTATGAATTAGTGTTTTTAAAAGTCAAACCAAGATGGAAGCTTGAAGATTAAATGCCAAATTTGCTGGCTATTACATAATAGAATGTGAGTTGTAAGTTCAAGGATCATAATCGGAGATAAAAATCATTTGTTAAAAAATGAAAGGGATTAATCTTCAAATAACATACAATCCCATGCTAATATTAAGCTATCATTAAGGGAACTATGTTTAACTTTTAATAAAAGTTTTTAAGTTACAACAGCTAACCAACCCGAAGAACACGAAGTTCATCAAATTTGCGAATGGAGACAAGTAGATAGAGAAGAGGTAAAATAAAATGGAGGATGGAAAAACCTGAGAAACAGAATATTTCACTTGAGAAAACTTTTTGGCAATGCTCTTGACTTGGCTTATTAAATATTAATTATGCAACTGCCAAGCCAAGTCGCACTGCTGCGAGTTTAGGGCAATAACAATGACAGTAGATATTTTACCCATTTTATGGCCAGAACCACTTGGCCCATAGAGACGACTTATTATTCGTCGTGCCACTAGGCGTGTCAGCTCATCCAATTCTGGTCTCTATTCTATATAGTTATAGTCTTTATTATCATTGTAATCATCATCATAATGACGAACGGCTGACAAATTTGGTCATTTGACACGAAACACGATATATATTTGCATCTTGACTTGAGATGAACGAGTGTATCTATAACAATTCATATTTAACTCAAGTGCTTTTCAACAATCGGAATGCGCAACGAAAGAGCGAAAAAAGCGGATCACGTGGGAGCTGCAGATACTTGCAGCGTACTTAGAGATACGAGTACTTTGGGCTTTGTCTATCCTCACGCATTAGCAATGCTAATTGTGATTTCAGTTGCTGACAAGTGATCTGGCCAAAATCATCTTTATTTTTATGGCAAAACTCGTTTGCCAGCACCGATCATCATCATCATAATGCCCCTGATGATCGTGGGCGTGCATCTATTAACTGACGCGTATGTGTGTGTGGTTGGGTTTCTATCTTTTACAATGAATCTCGGCTGATTGAAGGAAAGGGAATGACAGGGGGCCCCATCCAATTGCCAGCTAATCGAGCGAACAGCAGGCAAATCGACTCTGCCAGCGGGCAACGATTTGTTTTTGTTTTTTTTCTAGCCACCAAAATTGATCTGTAAGCCTTAACTTTCAAGCTGATCTAGATTTCGTTGAGCCACTTTTGGGATAGACACAATTTTGATTTCGTTTCGGTGGATGTTTTTCGGTTTTTTGTGCTTTCAAAGCTTAGGCCATAATTGCCCGGAATAACTTCCCCTTTCGGCTGGGGAGCGTCAACAGCACAGACAACAAAAGGCATTTGTCATTATAAAAATTACATTTAATTATATTTATTTTATGCCAAAACAACAAATGCTCCCGCTCCCAACTTCCGTTCCAGCATAGTTAAAAAAAAAAAAACGGCGAAACGATTCGGTTCGGTTTCGGTTCACTGTTGTTGTTGTTTAGCAAAGCGTGCGGGAAATTCATTAGCAATATTTATGACTCGCTGTTTTCTCTCTCCTCCGACCTTTTCTGTACAGTTTTTTTTTCACATTTCAACCGGCTAATTTCCATGGCAATGGAATAGACAGACAGCAGCAACAACAGCAACAAACTGGTAGATAGTCATTATTGTTACTCTCTGGCTTCTATTCAAACCCCTACCCCCAACCCCTCTCCCTATCTCTACCGATTTTCCCTGCCTTTTTCCATTGTATTTTGTTAGAACTTTGCAGCTCTGTTGTAGCTGCTTATGTAAACAATGCCTTGTGAGTGTTAGTCACTTATTTATTACTGCAAAAGTGCATTGAGAATTCAGATTCCAAATTTCCCAGAGAGCAAGGAGAAAGAGCGAACGAAAGAGAATTCTAAATCAAAGCCCAGCTCTTTTGGGAAAAATTCATTTCCATTATATCGCATTATCTGATCAGGCAAATTACGGCAACAAGTTGCTTGCTCGCTCTAGTGTTTATTGCCAGCTAGGAAACCTAATTAATTGCTCTAACAGAAATCAATTTCATTTATATCAACGGGGCAATAATATATTCCCCACCATAATTGGTAAATATTAATGTGTCCAAAGTGATATTTGTTTATATATTTTTGGGATGTTTTTCTGGTCATTGGGCATACGCCTGTTTGGCCGCTCATTAATCGCAATGTGTCCGCAATTTTTGGCCATAAATCTAAAGCCACTCGATATCAAACACACTTTTAAATACAAAGTATGTATAACCCACATCATTGTCTATAATATATTCATAGTGCGGCGGTTGCTTTGGTTATTTTTCGATCAATTATTAATCATACAGGATTAGTGCGGCTGCCATCCCCGAATCATCGTTTGTCCGTTGATTGGCGGAGGTCGTATTAAATTCGTATTAGGTCTCGCAATCCCACTTCCTACTCTCAAAGCTGATGAGGTCTTAGATGGTCTTTGGAAGTTAGTTTTATCGTTTGAATAATTTGTGATATGCAAAGTATAGATACATTCGTCAGATACAATTCACTGGCGTCGAAGTGTAGGGAAATGGGAACTGGGGCTGGGGTGTTCGATTCTGTCCTTGCCCCATTATAATCCGCATTCAAAGCCTTGTTTGTGTTCTAGCCTGCATATATTTACACATAAACTCAAATCCATATGCATATATATGGTATATATACATGCGAGTATAGAGATGCCGAAACATATCTTGGAGATCTGAGCTTTAGTTATGTGCATATTTTTGCCAGCTCAAGCGAGCGTTTGTAATACAATTTCGTTTTGTTGTCAGCTCAATTTTCAAGTTGTTTCCAGAGATACTCCCCCTGCTCTCATGTGAATTCTGGATAGTCGAGTACCCTTCGAGTGTATCTGGGGTTTTCGTTTGTTTGTTTGTTTGTTTGCCTTGCGGTTGCTGTTATTCCCATTTTGCTGCTCTTGCCTCTCTCTCTCTCTCTTTCTGTGTATTTAAATTTTTTTTCCATACCCAAACCCAACTACGCAATGGAGTTGCCAGCAGCTGGCCTTGTTGTTGCTGCTGCCTGATGTCTCACTATGATAAGAATAAGTGAGTGAGTGTGTGTGTGTGCCTGCTACACTGCAAGAAACAACAAGGGCAGTCTGTGTTCTCGAAAAGTGACCCACACTCCATTTACATTCCTTGCATATTTGCCAATGCAGGCAATCTAAAATGCAGATTGCTTTGGCAAACATCTGCTGAGTGAACATGTTTTATCATCGAAGTTGCAAGAGCCTTATAAATTCTAAGACTTTTTCTTGTTTTGGTTTTCAATTAATCAATTATATAAATTTGATTTATGTTCAACACTTTTAGTAGTAATCTTTAGAACAAGAAGTATGTACAGTAAAGCCTTCCATATTTGTAATTTTCAGTATATTTTGCATGTCAATGTTTGTCACTCGCTTTTTCATCCCACCCCACACACATCGAGCACATTTGCCGTCATATTTGCTTTTGATTTATGCAGTGTTGTTCAAGACCTTCGTGCCCCCTTTTGCCTTTCGTGTAAACATTTGCATTATGTTAAATAAACCCGAAAGTATTTCAACAATATCGAAATATTATTTGCATATACGTAAAAATAATAACTCACACGCTGCCCAAATATTTGACTTTTATTCAAAGTTAAACTTCTAGCCCTTCTTCACAAAGAGAAGTTCATGTTTTTTTGTGACTTTTGGAATTCATTTCATGAGATTTTTTCTTTAGAATTTGTTATTGAAAAATTAATTGATTTTCCCTTTTTTCTTTCAGTTCAATTGATTCGTCAAAATAGCCAACTACCAGGACCTGTTGGGCAGCCATCATCAACTGCTCATAGCCGCCACCGCCGCCGCAGCCGCTGCAGCAGCCGCCGAACCGCAACTGCATTTGCAACACCTGTTGCCAGCAGCACCGACGACACCAGCAGCCATTAGCCATTATCAGCAGACAGAGAGCCAGAATCTAAACAACTCAATCAATTCGATTAGCCCGATCAATCAGATCAGCAACAATAATCCGAACAACAACAACCAGCAGGCGGTGTTTGAAAAAGCCATCACCATTTCGTCGATTGCGATAAAACGCAGGCCGACGCTGCCGCAGACGCCAGCAAGTGCCCCACAGGTGTTGTCGCCGTCGCCCAAGCGCCAGTGTGCCGCCGCCGTCTCCGTTTTGCCGGTGACCGTTCCCGTGCCCGTTCCGGTTTCCGTACCGCTGCCCGTTTCCGTGCCCGTGCCCGTCTCGGTCAAAGGTCATCCGATCTCGCACACGCACCAGATCGCCCACACCCATCAGATCTCGCATTCGCATCCGATCTCGCATCCGCACCACCACCAGCTGAGCTTCGCCCATCCCACACAGTTCGCCGCCGCCGTTGCCGCCCACCATCAACAGCAACAACAGCAGCAAGCGCAACAGCAACAGCAGCAAGTGCAGCAGCAACAGGTTGCCTACGCAGTCGCCGCCTCACCACAGTTGCAGCAACAACAACAGCAGCAGCAACAGCGATTGGCTCAGTTTAATCAAGCGGCAGCAGCAGCTCTCTTAAATCAACACTTGCAACAGCAACACCAGCAGCAGCAGCAACAGCAACAACAGGCCCAGCAGCAATCTTTGGCCCACTACGGCGGCTATCAGCTGCACAGATACGCACCCCAGCAACAGCAGCCACAACATATCCTTTTGAGCACTGGCAGCAGCGGCAAACACAGCAGCAACAGCAGCAACAACAACACCAACAACACTAGCCCAGCAGCAACATCAGCGGTTGTGCCGATAGCAACATCCGTTGCTGCTGTGCCCACCAGCGGCGGCAGCTTGCCGGACAGTCCCGCCCACGAATCACATTCGCACGAGTCCAACTCCGCGACCGCCTCCGCGCCTACAACGCCCTCGCCGGCAGGCAGCGTAACCAGCGCCGCCCCCACAGCAACAGCAACAGGAACCGCTGCAACAACAGCGGCAACTGGGACACCAGCAACATCGGCCGTTAGCGACAGCAACAACAACCTGAACAACAGCAACAGCAGCCGGGACAGCAGCAGCAACAGCAACAGCAACGCCATAATGGAGAATCAGATGGCATTGGCCCCGCTGGGACTTTCGCAGAGCATGGACTCCGTGAACACGGCCAGCAATGAGGAAGAGGTGAGTGACAGCTTCCATTTTGCTATCCCAAAATCCAACACAAAAAAATATAAAATAAAAGTAACAAAAAACGAAAAAAGAGTTGGCCCAACAGCGAAATGCGACAAAAGTGACAGCTTGGGGAATACGGAATCCAGCATACTGAAATATTGCATGAATTGGTGGAAAGTCGCGCAAACTTATCCTGCCAGCTGAGAACTCTAAGTAGAGTACTAGAATTTGGGCTAAAATTTACATTTATGTACATAAGCAAGGTCCATGCAAATTATTCTGGGGATTATCTTGGGGGAATTGGATTTTCCAAAGGAATGCCAAGATGGACATTTTACAGATATAGATTTATATTTAAAGCTCAAGCTGGGACTTTATTTTGTAAGTTAGATGGGAAGAACTTGGAAAAGAACATTATTACCTGATTTGATATTTTTAAAGTGTGGTTTTCTGTCTTTAATTTGTCAGACTTTCTAATAATCTAACTTAATCTCCAAAAAACTTAGAAAAATTCCCCTGCCCAAGCTAAATACACTTCATTTATGAACATGATTTATCGATCTCATATTAAAAATGCTTTTTAAGTTCATAAATTCCCACATGTGCTGAGGACTAAAATCCTTTTCAATCACTCGCTTTCATTTGATGCATTTAAAGACTTTCGCCTGATTTTGAGCTGCAAATATAAAGGATGATCGATATGTCGAGTGCTGGCGCAATACAAGCACAAGCCCCCCGTCTCCTCGTTTAAAAATCCCCTGAAATAATGGTGCGCTACATCAACTGGCAGCTCGGGCGTAAGATTTTTCTTTGGCGCCCTTTGTTTTTGGCCAAAAACAAGGGGGGATAGCCTGCTGCTTTATGAAGCTCAGGGAAAAAAATTAAGCGAGAAGGCTGGGAATGAGGGGCGTTGCCTTTGCAGTTGTGTAAGTGGCATGTGCATCCATTGGTGGTTGTACTGCTGCTGCTGCTTCTGCTTCTGCTGTTATGTGTTGTTGTTGCTTACATTTTGATTATGCGCCTTGTCTTATGCTACACATATTTCACGCTGCTTTCCTTTCATATTTCTTCGCAGCAGCATGCCACGCGTAATCCGCGCGGCACGTGCCCTGCCACCCAAACAGCCCAGCCCCCCTCACTGAACCACCCCACCACCCATCGTTCGCTTCGCTGCACTGCCTTCATGTCAAGTGGGTACGTGGCCTTACACGCATACATAGAACGGAAGGAGAGGGGCTTACAAAAGGGGGGGGACTACTACTACTACCACAACCAGGCGATGCGTTAAATTTGATTTTATCCTTGATAAAAAAATGTTCTTACTTTTGTTTTACTTTTCTCATTTCTACTACGATTATGGATTTTTATGTGCGCGTGATTTTGGGAAATTTATTGAAGTCCTTTTATCGCACAGGTTGCTGAATAGTTGGCTAAAGGTTAAAGGTGAAGCAAAAGTTTTGGCTAACAAAGCTCAAGTTTTAAGTTCGAGTTCGGAAAACGGATTACCTTACACTTGAAATATAATTTTTATATACATTTTCCTTGAGAGACTTTAAATCTTTGATGACTAAACCTTAAAGAAAATAGTTTTACATATACTTAAAGATCCTAGCCCTGACTTAATCCAATAACAAGCCATATTTAAGCTGAAATTTATATTTGTAAACTGCAGAGATATTTTCTTGGCCATAAAGAACCTTTTACCGCCTTACTGCTGCAATTCTCCTACGGAAATTCGCATTAAAAATGCATCAATCACTTGGCTCCAAGTTGCATTTCACCCTGACCCCCTGCAGTCTTTGCCAAAAAATAAAAGACAAGTAAGGTCCATGGACGCTGGAAGATAAAGTTGCACATGAAAATGAAAAATATTACTGACTAGGAGACTTAAATTAATCAAAATAAATATCAAGCCGAAAAGTAAACGAAGGCAAAATCTTCCTGCAGTGTTAAAGGATAAAAAAACGACCTGAGAGTCGTTGACCTGCAGCTGGAGAAAAAAAAAGAGTTATAAATGCAATTCACCTTTCTCCATTTTCTCTCACTCTCTCTCCCTGCCTGCCTGCCTGCCCATCCTATTCATTCACACTGCAATCTGACTTCATTTGTATTTATGAGTATTCATTCTCGGCTCACTGTCTTCTCACTCCTTTTGGTCCTTCACATGTGTGTGAGTACCTGTCTCTGTGTGTGAGAGCTGCATGAATTATTGATAAGTCAATTAAAAAAGTATGACAGCGGCTGATGGTTGGTAAATATTTTACTGGGACCTCAAGTCGCAGGCATAGCCACTCCGTTTCCCAGATGCATCCTGGCCACGATGTTTGCTTGTCATCTGCAGGCGGCAACATATTGCTTTTTTTCATTTAAACGTTTTATGAGTGCAAGGAAGCCAATTCCCCACGGCTCCACTGCAGAAAAAATTTCAATTTTTATTAAAAATAACACCAGGTTGTGGTAAGGATGAGTAAGTCGGAAAAGTCAGTCAGTTTACCAATTCTAAAGACATTCTCATACAACCCCAAAAACGATTTATTTTCAACTGCTTAACTGGGCAGTGAAAATTTTGGGAATATATTTCGTATTTAAGGGCGTGGAAGCAGAAAAGGGAGAGTGCTGCCCAAGAGTCCTGAAACTGATGCAAAGTGGCGGACTTCTGGGGCCATCGAGCAGTCAAGTGTGCGCAACCTGCCATATAAAAGTGCGTCTGTGTGTGTGTGTGTGTGTGCGATGCAATCGAGTGACCATTGGTCCCCAAGATCCCTTCCAGATTCCTTCCACTTAACCCTAGGAACCCCTCTTCCTGCAACTGCAACAACAAGTTTGTGGCAGCACGTTCTGCTTTGTTTAAATGCAAAATGTGAGAATATATATATAAAATAAACTTAATAGAACTTGTCACAGATGTCCTTTGGCCCCGGTTGGCCTGGGTTGACATCACATCCTGCCCAAAGTTGCGCACAATTAAACTTTTAACTTTTTGCCAGTTTGCAAAAGGAATTTCACCCCCTTTTGCCTGTCGCTGGAGCTGCACCTTCTACTCCTCCTCCTCCCCACCTCATCCTCTCACTTTTTATGCACATTCCACATTTTTGTCATGTGCACTCAACGGAAATTGCCATGTGCCAAAATGGTAGCTGCCTCAGCTTCCAGCTTCAAACCCATCCTGCCAACCGCTTTCCATTTTCACTCCCCTGACAGTTTGCAGTTTTCCAGTTTGTTTGCATTATTTTGTTTCTATTTACTTTTTTTTTTCAATTTGCTTATTTATTTGCCGTTGTTTGTGCGCAAAATTGCAAATAGAATAATGGCCAAGAAGAATATCAAAGTTGAGAGTTTTGGCCACTAGGTGGCGCGCGTCAGACTGTCAGCCTGTCTAACGAAACAGAAGAAAAAGTTTGCAAACTGTTGCTCACCTACTATATGGTACCTAAAAATAAAAACGAGAACCGAACGAAAATGAGGGCAAAACACCTATGAGTTGGAAAGGGAAAGCTATAGCCTTTTTGGCCCAATGAATTTTCGGCTAAAACAATTCACGCCCCTCTTTTACACCCCGTCCCTGCAAACAAAATGTCAACTGTATATATTTTATTTACTTATTTACTTTTGCATTTTATTTGTCCTTGCTGTTTTCCGTTTCCCAAAAGGGGTTAACCCCTCGAAATGCCAAAGAGTTGAGTTTTCTGATTTTTCCCATTCCTTTTTTTTTAGTTTTTGTTTTTGACAAGGCTTTTAAGCTAACATCGATGCAGTTGGCAAATTGCTTTACGTGGTCAAATGTTCGGGTCCCGTCCCGGTGCCACTTTCAAATTCCATTTCCAATCAGGTACCATTCCTTTTAACAATGTCCACTTTGCGGCCAAGTCCTTGAAGCATCTTGAGCGCCATTAGGCCAACGCAAGTGCCAACCTTTAAGTTTTGGGTTAAGCTGACCTAAATGCACTGTAAAATAATCTTTATTTTGTTTGCAAGATACGATAAATGAGAGCATTAATAATGGGTTCTTCTTGTCTAGAATGTCACCTTTTCCTTAAGACACCTTCCTTTAACGCAAGTTTCTTCCAGTGTAACTAAAGACTCTATAAAAATGAGGAAAAAAGAAAAACCCCAAGAAGATGCCTTTCTGGCTGCCTGGGTGGTGGCTTAATTCAATTTGGCTAAAGACAATTTCGCGCTAAATGAAATTATTAAAAGGTTCAGGCCAGCGAAAGGAAAGAAAGGCGAGGCTAAGACTCTCAAGATGTTATCGGAAATAATTTGTGTAAAACTAAAGGTGCCAACATAAAAATAGTGAAAATAAAGACCCACTCAACTAAAGGTCGTTGAAGAAAGATCTTAGATACCAGAAGTTAGTTTTGTAAGTAGCTTTGAGCAGCAGTTAAGGCCAACTTTATTATCAAAATCATCAGTGAATTTGACCTTTTGCCAGGCAGCTAGTTGGGAAATGAGAAATGGTACGTGACTTGTGGCAGCTGTCGCTGATTAAACTTCAATTAATAAAACTAACGCCATGCAACGTCACCTCGTGTGACACTTTACTCCATCCACCGCCATATAGCATTCAGCATTCAGCTCTTCCCATCGACTTGCGGTGCTCATTATGCATTTAACATGCATTAACCTACCGCCGTGTAATGCAATTAAAAATGCCAGCTGAACACATAAATTACACGCTTAAATAATGCAGAAATTAATAAGTTCTGTTCGGCCTCGACTCCCAGGCCCATAATTCTTAATTACCTGTATATGCGTGGGTGAAAAGGATGAAAGAAAGTACGCGTCAGGTGAGAAAGAAAGCAGATAGTTGATGGAAATGAGAAGAAAGGAAGTGCAGTCATAAACCTGGGCAAACATTGCAGGTCTTGGCCATGTTAGCCGGTTGGGAATTCCACCAAATCCCAATCTCCTCCTGCAATCATTAATATTCCTTTTAACTGTTTCTGGAATCGCATTTTCCTTCTGAGCTGAACTGAGTTCCATTTGGTTTTGACCATTTAGAGGTTAGT